ACTGTAATTCTGTCTGTAAGGAAGAAACACGTATATGCTCACAAAGCTACATACAGTAAATATATGTTCCACCAGCACAAAAAGAAAAGGGAAAAAATGAAATGAACTTTGGTCATAACTAATACATAAATGTTCAGTCAGGGAAAAAATTATTTGAACACCTGCTGATTTTGTAATCAGTCTATATTACAGTAGTAGGTTTAGTTGAACAGTGAGAGACAGAACAAATGAATTTGCATTTTTATGAATGTAATAAGCATTTGATTTGCAAAACGTGCTTTAGTAGGGGAGACCGGGGATAGTTGTAACGTGGGTCAGTTGTAACACTTCAAATTTCTCCAATCAGGGCTAAGTTTCAAATGATGTGACTCATCCTGTGCATGCCCAATTCAGTTCTGCTATCACATGTGAAAAATCAGCACATTTTGTCAAACACAGACAATTTAACACCAAAAAAAGTAATTTGTATGCCAAAAAGTAAGTTTTTCTACTTTATTTCAATTTCTAATAGCATTATCTGCTTTGCAGTTAAACTCATCAAACTTAAATTATGTTATTTGTATGTCTATCGGGATATATTCTGTGTAGGTCTTTAGTGCTAATGTTTTAGCCGTTGGCTGTAATGTTAGCTAGTTCATGGCTATAGGAGTCTGGGTCAGTTGTAACAGCAACAGTCTGGGTTAGTTGTAACAATAATGCAGATGTTACAACTTACCACACTATTACTTTAACTTATATTAAACAAGTTGGGGCAACGACATCAGCAGAGAGACGTTCACTGCACCTTTGTATATGTGGTTAATGCCATTGGCAACACAATTCCTCCACTGTTTGTGTTCCCACACATACATTATGCAGATCACTGTGTCAGAGATGGACCAGTAGGAAGTACTGGTAGTGGAAATAAATCAGGATGGGTGCAAGAAACAGATTTCCTCATCTTTCTGAAGCACTTTGCAAACCACACCAAGGTAAGCCATGATAAAAAGTAATGGAATTGCGATGTTGGTGAACAACTACATTTTTTCAGCTTCATTGTTATGTTCAAAATTGGTGCAAGAGTTGTAGGTTATAATGCCCACTGAGCCAATGAGGCCAAACTCAAGGAAGACCAACCAAAATTAATGAAATATTCAGTTGCAGAAATTTCCATAACTTGTCTTTTTTGGGGGGTTGGAATATGTTCAAAAGCTAGATTTCTGCATTCTGTCACACACACACACAGCTACATTAATGGCTCTAAGTGCATTCATGTGTTGAATAAACAAAGATTACATGTTAATGTTTTGTTAGTACCCTTATTTCATTGTGTTACATTTTACCCCAGGATATGTTACAACTAACCCAGACTATGGGGTTAATTGTAACATTTCACTCTTTGTGTTTGAGACCATACCATGCAATGGGTAATTGTGCTGCAGAGAAAATAGCTGCACTATTTAATAGCCGAGACATGCAAATACTTTGCATTACATTTTGAATCCACTACCTTAAAAGAGCTCCAATTTACAGACAGAAATGTCAAAAATGTTACAACTATCCCCGGTCTCCCCTACTTGGTGGCAAGCCCTTTGTTGGGAATCACAGAGACGTGTCTTGTAGTTGACCACAAGTTTCGCACACATTCCACAAACTTCTGTGTGGAGGGACTGAGAGTTCGAGTTGCCAAACATCAACCATGAAACACTAATGACTTGGAGAGGATCTGCAAAGAGGTGTGGGACAAAATCCCCCCTGTGGCGCTCATGAAAATGCATTTTTCTGGATTTTTTAAATTGTTTTTTTGTTATTTTTCTCTCAGTAAGTATAGCTGTGACACCTGACGGTCACTTTAGGCAGTGCCCTATAAGCCATGCGAGCAGTTCAACAGTGCTTTTTGGGAACTGATTCAATTAATATAATAAAATCAATGTAAAGAACTGCCACACAGAACAACAGCATACTCATTCCACTTTGCATTTTAAATGAAAATGCCATTAAAATATAATTAAATGACTGTTTTAAACAAAAAAATGATTTTAATACAAAATGTATTTAAATTTCACTAAACATTAATACAGTTTCTGTGTTCAGTAGCAAACTTATCAGAGGTCTTAGTGGTGCACTTTCAGTTTAGAAGTGTGCGCTCTGTAATGGTGTTTTCATGGTATTTTCTTCAAGCAGGGATTAAATCACTGAGCTCTAGGTTATTATGTTGCATCTCTGACCTTAAGGTCAAAATGGTGATCCCCAGTCATTTAAATAATATACAGACACCCCTGGCACAGTAGATGATGAGTGCTAAAAATGAAATTAAAGAAAGGATAAAGCTAAACATATATTGTCAGTGCGCCCCAGGGTGGCTGTGGCTACAATGTAGCTTGCCATCACCAGTGTGTGAATGTGTGCGTGAATGGGTGGATGACTGGATATGTAAAGCACTTTGGGGTCCTTAGGGACTAGTAAAAAGTGCTATATAAATACAGGCCATTTACCATTTACCATTTTCACTACAGTGGTAATCATTTTTCACTTAACTGAAATTCCTAGCATTTCATTAAAAAACAACCCTACAATAAATTACTCCACACTTGGATTTTTTTGTTAGCTTTCTCTCCAGCTGGTCAACCTTGCAGTGATAGGTTTGACCCTTTGAAAGCCTAAATCCCTGGGCTGGGAGCCGCTGCATTTAGGAGGCACAGGTTTGTATTTTGTTCATACCTAGGGTTGCCAACTCCCTGAAAAATAAATAAGGGACACCTCGTGGCCAGGGCCGGGCGACCCAGTTGTCTTCACCCTTCCCAGTGTGGTGAATTTTCTAGCTCTTTTTTTGTGTGTGAAATTATTTTTTTAACCATTTGACTTGAATTTGATTTAAGTAGATGTGTATTCTTTGTGATATGAACACATGTGAAACAAATGATCATTTAGCCATTTATTTTTAGCTCAAAATGACAACATTAACACATAAAACAGGTCTCTTTCTTAAACAGAAGCCTGTCATGCTTAACTTTTGAGAATATAAGTAAATCTTTCTTTAACTCTGTCCTGCTTAACTTAAAATAATAGAAAACAATAGAAAGAAAAACGTTCTTGTAACAGTGCACATTTAGTGCATTTAGTACAATTTGCTTCAGCTGAGGTATTATTTCAGCTTTTCTAAAGCTAATCAGCTGCTCCCGTTTGAAAACCCGCTTGTTCCCATGATTACGCATCTTAACTCATCATCATTATTCATCTATGTATTACTTTTATGTATTAGTCATCAATTTGTTGTAATCATCTATCCTTGCAGTCGTTTATTACACAAAATAAATTATATTATCACACTTCTGGCCACATAGCGCTGATATTCACTGCACATGCCCATATTAACTTTTTCCAGCCAGGTGTTTTCCTTTTCCCATTCTTCCCTTTCTCTGAGGGGAACAAACATTGCTGCTCTAATGCTGGGCTTACACAGTTTTAGGCCCATTTTGAGCCGATTTTTGAGTGATCGGACCGATTTTGGCCTTCATCGTGCATCGTGTAGTATACGTGGGGTAACGAGAAGCGATTAACACCTCACGACCAGCTCCCGATCATCAATCGCTCGTGAGCCGCTCACACTGCTCGCGCGCAAACACGTAAACGCCGTGAAAAAGACGGTGCAGCTCGGCTGTGCAGCGTGTGATCTGGACACAAGCGATGGAGGCACAACTTGTAGAACTTTGAAAAGCTCATCCGAGCCTTTTCGATGTGGCCTCACAAAATTATCACGACCACAACAACCGTGAAAATAGTTGGATTTACATTGCTGCTCAATCACAGCTGCCTGATCATGTTTTTCATTAGCAATTTAGCAAAGTTGATGGTGGTGGTGTGTCTGTGTGAGTGAGAGACAGAGAGGGAGAGCGACAGATTTTCTGTTATAACCTTAATTTTATGGACGCACAGTGTGAGCACTCAGGTCGCATCAGAGCATCGGGCGGTATAGTGTGAGACCTGCATCGTGACCTGCAAACTTCTAATCCCTGCGAGTCAATCGTGCAGTTTGAGCAAGAGCTGAATAACGCGACTGAAAAAAATCACAGTGTCTGCCCAGCTTTAGGTGTACTGTCATCCGAGACTTGCACCGCAGTGTCGGCGTTTGTTTCCCTGTTGGCCATGCTTGTTGTTGTGGTCATCTGTTGTCTTCCGGTATTTTCTCCGTAAGCGACCTTTCCTCGACCAATGAGATGAGCGGTAATCTGAATTGTCATACTCGAATTGTCATAAGTGTGCTGTCAGCTCATTGGTCACAAAGCAGGAGAGGGGCTGGGAATTATGTTTTCAAACAAAGCGTTAATTCCATTAACATTTATAGACTACTTTTGATTCTCACTGTATTACGGGACAAAGTGCGTCCCTTATTAGCTCAATACGGGACGTGTACTTTTGTTTCTAAATACGGGACGATTCCGTTTTTTAAGGGACGGTTGGCAACCCTATTCATACCTGTTCAATATGCACATTCACACTCCTCCAAGCGAAAGATGCAAAGTAACCTGATATCACACTGACTCACCAACAAAGTGACAATCATTCTTTGAAAGCAGCACTGTCTTTCTGAGAGCATCGATGCATTTAATGCCATCACCCCCCCCCCCTCTCTTTTTTAACTGTCACGTGATACCTGAGTCTGTTCGTCCAGTAATCAATTGTTTACTGGAGCTGCATTTTCTGTACTCATTTATCACACTGGCCGAAATGTGTAGCCAGTGTCACGTGACTGTGAGTCGCATGTGGGCACAGCAGAGCAGGCTGATCTGCTCACCTGCGCTTGACCCACAAAGGCAGCCTACTCTGCCGGACGTACCTATTAAAAGCAGGGGCACATCATCTCAAAATGTGGGTCAAGGGGACAAATGACAGTGGAATGGGGGACAGATGACATAGAAAGTGACGTTCTTTGCGCAATAATGGGGTTGTGGCGCCTCCCCCTGGGGTTTCACGTGAACTGCAATCCATTTTTTTCCTCTACACAATAAATATGCTGCAAACCTGCGGGAGAGAGAGTAGAACACGACGACAGAGGGTTTTATGTATTTTATGTCTTATGATTTCTTACTTCTGCACATGTCAGAGCTCGTGCTGAAGCCCTCCGCCCACTGAGCTACGGCTCAGACCCTCCTCTCTCATTCACTCCGGACGCATCTTCCACCAGCTGTGTCCAGCATGACTGCCGACAGCAGGTACAAGAGCCGCGCGCCCCAGACAGGTAAGCTTTCTCAGCAAGGCTGCTTAGTGGTGCCTCCATGACGCGCGTGAGCGTTTTAACGTGTGTTTGCTCGGATTCTCTCCTCCTGCCATCCCTGCCTCGTGTCTGATGGAATTTGGCTTCACGTCTCAGATGATGGAGAGGTAAGAGGCACACAGCAGATAAGTGTGTGTGTGTGTGTGTGTGTGTGTGTGTGTTTATATATACATGACTTACAAAATAAAAGCCCTATTCTGCGCAGCACCTGCACGGGTGAAATGCTGTAGTATTTCCTGACGCTTCTTCCTGTCTTAAAGATCAGTGGCATATGCAGCAACGACGCTGCATATTACAGGTCAGCAGTAACAGAGACCCCACTTCTGCATGGGTGCCTCCAAGAATTTTTTCACAGAGTGGGGAAAAATAACATAAATAATATAGGGCAGTCTTGGCAGGGAGGGGGGCAGTTTGTAACATCTGCACACATCTGTAAGCATAGCTCTGCTGGACAGCTCTGTGAACACTTTTGGTCTTTTATGCTGGTCTGGTCATCATCTCATTGAGTCCAGCTTCTCAGTATTTGGGCCTTTTTCTTTCTTTCATTGGCAGGGCTGTCAAAGTTTTTAATAAAAATTAAAATGTTTCAGTAATGAGTCAGTCTGTTTAGTCCAGTGACGTCTCCACATCTTGGGCTTTTCCAAGTCTTAAAGATCCCGAGTTAATCCTGAGTGATGTGAAACAGAAAAAAAACAAAAACCAAACCCTTGCACTAAGAAGCTAGAATTACAGAGGTTTTGCCATTTCTGCTTAGAAAACATCCTGTACAACTGGATTAGCTAATTATTTCAGCTAACTATGGTGGTAGTGAATTGAAAAGTTATTTCAGTTTCTTCCCCTTTAACCCACCTTTGTTCAGAGTGCCCCTTGTATAGATAAGTTTTGACAGCATGTGGGTCTAGCGTCTGTGCTCATCCAGAGCTGTGTGACTGAGATGACCATATTAGGAATATCCAGCCCAATCTCCGAACTTGGAAAAATCATCCTATATTGTTCAAACCTCCTTTTTCTAACACACAGTCAATGAAAAGTAAATTAGCTTAAAGGAGGATGTTATGGAGCATCTGGAGGATGAATTCAGTATGAGATAAAGAACAATTTTTATGACCTAGGAATCAAGTTCATTTTTTAGTGTCCAAGCATGAGAGCATAGAGCTAATTTGAGTGGACTACATCCTTAGTCACAAGTCAGAAGATGTGTGTTTTTTTGTAACAAGCTGTTCAAAGCTGAAAAATAGTTAACATAGATGATTTGGATGAAAATTTCATAACATAATCAATGAATTCAACTCCAAAAATGTTTCTTATCACTTTATGTTAGTCTCTTTAGCCACTGTAATATGTTACTGTGAAATTTGGTGCAGTTTGGTAAATGACTGCTTTTCAGAGATTCAGGGAACATTTTTGTAGCATAACGACCTGATACTCAGCCAAAGAGTTGCAGTGATGACAAGTTTATTTACACTATGCACACGAGCACAGTGATTTTCACAGGCCAACAGTGTCTGGCTTATCATCCTGTCTCTCTGTTACTGCTTCCTGCTTACGGCTCAGCACCCCTCTCCAGCATCTACTGTTAGGAGGAAGTAGGAGTCGTGAAATCCCACAATTACTTCCAGGTGTATGTTGACCAGCCTCCCCTAGCCATGCCCCCTGAACTGCCGCTACACCCCTCCCCTGCAGCTGATATTTTCACAAAAAGATATTCTGACAGCTCTTACATACAGCATCCGCTCTTCACTCTTTATTTTCAGATTTATATTTACAAAATCCCACGAGTGGTTAATAATTGATTTTTTTGCCTTCATCCTGCTTCACTGTTTTCTGCTGTGGTGCCATGTTGGACAGCAGCGCTGAGGCTGAGTCAGAGCAGCCGACACAGACGCAGCAGTCTGCATCTCTGTATTTTATGATCTGTGTGTGGGTGTGACTTACAAACACATTCACAGACAAACTGTCAATATGCAAGCAAAGCAGTAACACACACACACACACACACACACACACACACACACACACACACACACACACACACACACACACACACACACACAGAAACATTCTCCAACTTCAGAACCACCTCTGCTCAGTAACACAGCTAATGCACTGTGTATAAGATTTGATATTAAAAGCTTGTAATATCCTCAGATGAAAACATTTGGAGAAAATCTAATGTATGATGGGAGAGCCTGGATTTATATTTGACCTGCTACTGAGTTCATATCAGAGACATCTGTCTCTTTCAAGCCTCTGTTTGAAGGTTCTTGTTCCTTTTCACCCATCTTTCCAGATACGTGTATGCCTCTGCACTGTACACTCTCTCCACCCCCTCCTGTTGTGAAACAACTGCCTGCTATACTGTATTATGAATACTTGGAGATTTTGCACGTATAATAAGACAAGCTACAGTTTGTTCATGTAAATGGGGGATCTTATTCACACACAGATGTCAGTCATGGAGTTCCACAGGGTTCTATGCTGGGGCCATTTCTGTTTTGCTTTATACATGCTTCCCTAAGGAAGTATCAATAAAAGTCATAGCATACATATTTGTTGCTATGCAAATGATACCCAACTTTATCTTTCTATGAAGCTAGATGACATATACCGACTAGTTAAACTATAGGCATATCTTTAAGACATAAAGCATATTGTACTCGTTATTGCCCGAGAAAGATGTTTAAGCCTTTAAATTAAAGCTGAAAAATCTGCACTTCAATCACATCTTGTTTATTTGAGTTGAAATCCACTGTGTTGGTGTACACAGGTGGTTCTTTGTCAACCAAAGTTTCTGGGTTAACCACTGCTGCTTTGTTTTCTATCTGTGTGGTTGTTTCCAGGAAAAAGAATATGTTGGTTTTGCCACACTGCCCAACCAGTTGCACAGGAAGTCAGTGAAAAAAGGCTTTGACTTCACACTCTTGGTTGCAGGTACGAGGTTTAAAAGGACACAACTTTGTCATGCACCAAAAGTGTCAAACCAAGACAGGATGTCATTACATCAAACTTTCACATTACACTTTCTGCACAGCCTGTTTAAATATGAATTGCCATCTAACAAGCTACATATTATAGGCAAAAGGTTAACAGTAGTCTGTCACATTTTATTTAAAAACTTTGACTAGTTAGTATATATGTGGTCAAAGGAGCTTGCAAAGAAAAGCGTCTGGACTTCTTTAAGTTGCTTGAAGACGTTTCACCTCTCATCTGAGAAGCTTCTTCAGTTCTAAGGTCAAATGGTGGGGAGTCCCAGATTTAAACCTAGTGGGAGTATCCCCCCAAAGAGGGACAAAAGGACCCCCTGATGATCCTCTAATCGCCTGAGCCAAGGTGTGAAATTGCCACCATTTGACCTTAGAACTGAAGAAGCTTCTCGGATGAGAGGTGAAACGTCTTCAAGCAACTTAAAGAAGTCCAGACGCTTTTCTTTGCAAGCTCCTTTGACTACGATGACCTGGATCCTGGATGACTGAGAACCTTCACAGACCTAGTATATATGTGGGCATTTCAGAATATGTCCATCAACATATCAGGGCCAGAACTCACAGCCATCAAAGTTCATGTGAGGTATCATGCACATTGTTGTGGGAGCTTGGTGTAGTAACAGCTTGTTTTTTATTGCTAGCAGTAAGTCAGACTCATTCCCAGTGGTACTGGACTCCACCAAGACTGTCTTCTGTCACCAGTTCTGTTCATCATTTTCAGGTGCAGCCAAGATGTAGAGGATGTTGGGTTTTGTGGTCTTAATATATCATCTCGACTTATTGGAGATGATGTAGTTCTGTTGGCTTCATTGAACCATGACCTCAGCTTGCACTTGAGAGACTTGCAGCTGAGTGTGAACTGCTGGAATAAGAAGTAGCAGCTTCAAGCGTAAGGCCATCGTTCTAAACTGGAAAAAGGTGGAAAGCTCCCTCTCGGTTGGGGATGAGTTGCTGTTCTTTTCTCAGGGTCTTGTTCATGAGTGAGGTAATGTGGATTGAAGACTGACAGATTGATTGGTGTATCTTCTGCAGTCTGTTGTGGTGATCAATCTACATTTTTACCCATGGCCACAAGCTCAGGGTGGTGAAGAGTAGAAAGAAAGAGATTATGACTACAAGCAGTAGAAAACATCAAAAAGTATATTTGCTCAGCATTAGACAGAGAAGTTGCTACTCCTCCACATTGAAAGGAAATAAGCAAAGTGCTTCAGGTATCTAATGAGAATGCCTCCTGGGCGCCTTATAGACTAGGTGTTGATCCATGTTATCCATGTTGCATGGATATCTGACCCACAGTCCTGTTATTAAGGACAGAGGGAAATTGATATTGCCTGTTAAGGAATAGCTTTGGAGATTACCTGATCAGTTGAGAAATAAATGCTCAATGTGTGTATCGCACAGACTGCAAATAAAAGATGGCTATTGCATTTTTTGGAACCAGAAATGGCCTTATTTGGATAACAGGCTCTTAAGTGCTAGCTTATCAGCTAATGCTAGCAAACTTCAATAGCCACCTGCATCCATAAACTATATGGCTGCAACCCCCTGACGATAAATGATATTTAATGGCAAGTAACTGAGTAATAAAACAGAAAAGTTAATTAATACAAATCTTTTGCTAAAGCCCTTGAGTTAAGGCTGAGAGATTGCACTTCAATTATATGCTGGATATGCTTGTGTGATTTAACTATCACTTTGGTAATGTGCAGACACACACCAAAATTGGAATGGAAATCGAGAACCGGCTCTTGTAAAGAACCAGTACCCAGTAGTTCAATTTCTTGGAATTGCTAGTCTGTTTGCCTATCGAGCCCGCTTATTGATTCTACTTGTACATGCACTACAATCAACTGAGTTCAGTTTTGTGCTGAAGGAGGTAATAGTGGTGCAGGCTGAGGAAAAGCTGAGGGAATGCTGACCCCAGCCCAGCAACCAGACTGTGAACTTCAAAAGGTAACAACAAACTGATGAGCAGTCGGACTGCATCCTCTGTTTCTACCTGTTTATGTTTCTAAGGTGGAATCACCGTAGTGATCACTTTAAAGTGTCTTTCTGCTGGTTTTTATATTTGCTTTGTGCTATTGACTTTGTTCATACCTACATTCTAAGAGAAAGATCATGCGTGTGTCCTCATTAGGGTAGGGATTTGTTTTGGTGTGCGAGACTATTTGAGGGGTAGATGAGCTGCAAAAAGCGTTGCTGTAAACATGTCAAATCGCAGATTCAAGCACCAGAAATTTCAGTCTTCACAACAATTGGCCCAGATAATCTTTATCCGAGCCACACTAATTAATAACACAAGTTTTACTCCCTTGCTTTAACTGACAATAAAATTAGTTTCCATGTGACAGTGAGCATGTTACACTGATGTAATGATCAATATGTATCCTACAGGTGAGTCTGGCCTAGGTAAATCCACTCTGGTGAACAGCCTTTTCCTCACTGATCTTCATAAAGACAGAAAGCTGCTCAACGCTGAAGGTGAGTGACTAATCTATCAGACGTCTTCACACCATTCTTCTTGTTTCTTTCATCAGTTATACAGTGACTACAGAGTCATTGTATAACTCTCTGGTTTAATATCCATATCTGTTTGTTGTTTTGCCCCGAAGAGCGCATCAGTCAGACAGTGGAAATCACAAAGCACACTGTGGACATTGAGGAAAAGGGGGTGAAATTGAAACTTACAGTTGTGGACACCCCAGGATTTGGAGATGCTGTCAACAACACGGCGTGGTAAGGGTTGAGTTTGTACCGAACAAGATGAGCATGGTGATAAACATCAAATGGAAGAAGCCCTCTTATTTTTCTAAGTAAAGTGGACTTTACTTATTAAGTAAAGTCCACGTAGACTCTCCTTTCATATGGTCAGATTGTCTGCTTTGGACCATGTTTGAGTGAATGAACTGGGTAAGCTAGCTCAGACAGACACAAACCTGCTATTACTGTAAGCTAAGCAAACCACCTTCGAGATCAAAATGACTCTTTAGAAAAGTAGATCAGTTTTTTAGCAAAACATGTAAATATGCAAATATGCCGTTATTTTCTAGCTGGAGGCCCATTACAGATTATATCGACCAGCAGTTTGAACAGTACTTCAGAGATGAGAGCGGACTCAACAGGAAGAACATCCAGGACAACAGAGTGCACTGCTGCCTCTACTTCATACCCCCATTCGGACATGGGTAATATATATATATTTTCTTACACACACATATGCACACATGTATCGTACACAGATTCAGGGAAGTTCGTATCTTCCTGCAGGCTTCATCCTGTTGATATAGAGTTCATGAAGGCCCTGCAGGATAAAGTTAATGTGGTTCCTCTCATCGCTAAAGCTGACTGCCTCACTCCCTTTGAGATAAAGAAACTCAAAGAAAGGGTAAGATCATAAAGACACATGATTTCACTGCAATTATGACAGCTTTATATGTGGAAAATAAAAAGTGAATTTATGCTGAAGTATTTTCACTGTAAAATAAATGAAAAGTCCCAAATTAATGTGAATGCTGTTTAAAAATTCACATTACTGAGATCCTTAACTAGCACTTAACCAATTCTGCATACTTCATGTTACAGACAAATTAATGGAGAAATCTTTCAATCCTCTTTAAATCCACCCTAACTTATAAGTTACAGTTTAAGTTTTCTGAAGAGTTTCGTTTTTCATGGCATTTTCCCCACCACTGCATGATGTCATTACCTACTGTAAAACAAAATTAAAAACATGATACACAACCTGAATAGGTAATAAAGCAATAGACCTTTCAGCCCAATTCTACTTTTTCTGAATAATCCATCATACAAAATGTAATCAAATGAAAAAGTCTCTTTTTAAAACTTGTTTTATTAGTTTTAATCCTTTAACCTTATGCACATTATCCAGCTGCCTCCCTCTTCCCGCTCCACCACAACCACCCACACATGCAGGGCCTTGGAGTAGGGGTATGTCACCAGGGTGCAGAGGAAGCTACCCCCCCCCCCCCCCCTCTGTCCCCTTCTGGCTGCCTCTGCCTCAATTTTATCCCACAACTTAGACATTCACATTACTCACACTCTCATAACACATACATATAGGATCTTGGGGGTGGGCACAATCACGGAGTCCAAATTACCATCAGGGTGTACACCTCACCCCTGGCGTCGCTGCCCACCTCTCAATTTTAAATACACGTAGACATTGAGGGCTATCAGGAGGGGCTATGCGCTTACCTGCTGCTCTCTGGCAGGTAGCTCCATGCCCTCCTGGGTTTTAAATGCACCTTAGAACACACATGCATCAACACTACAATGAGCGGGTGGAGGGAGGTTTGGAGTCTTCTCTCACCCCCATTCTCTGCGGCCTGCTGGAGCAGGGGGGGCTAGGAGGAGGAGGAGTTGGCCGTCCGACTGGGGTCTGGAGTGTGGGGCCTCCCTGCTGCTGCGGAGTCGGGGCGGTCTGCCTCTCCCCACCGCAGGGAAAAGGGTAACACCACCTGGGTCTGGGTGCAGTTCCCCCCTCCAGGGGCAAGGGTACCTAGACCCGGTTTGTAGAGTACGCTTGGGGAGTGTGATCGTGTGTACAGCGTCTCTTTATGTCTGTCTCCACGTTGGTTGAGTGTGGAGTAAGTGCATATGAGAGCATGAGGGTGGGAATGGATGTTTGTATATGTGTGTGTCTGTATGTCTGTGTCTATATGTCAGGTTGGGTGTCAGGCGCCACCTCTCTGGGCACATCTCAGGCCCTCCAAGGTTTGGAGGCCTATCTCCCCCACCACTTCCCCTGCCGGTGGCGGACTCCCTTGGATATCGGTGCATTGTAGGTTCTTTGTGGGATGGGCGTCCGGGTACACACCGGCTCACTCCTTGGCGGCCGCTTATCGGGGCCTGGAGCCTGGGGCTCGCTCGGGCCACTTCGGAGGTGGGGTGCCCCCGGCCTCTCGGCCTGGGGCTCGGTCACTCAGGCGCAGCTGGCTGCCGGCGGAGCTCACGGGCGCGTCATTGCAACCCCCCCTGGCTTCTGCTCCGCGGCTGCTGAGTGAGCCCTCATCTGGGACTCTCCTCAGCTCTTTCTGGGACAGTGGCGCGGCTGCCCCTCTGTTGGTCTTCTTTGGTCTCTTGTGTTCTGGGGGCCTCTGGATGTCTGGAGTTTTGATCTCCTCCATACCTGCTTCATGCCCTGGAGGACGGGGCTGTGGCTCCCCCACACCCTCTAGCACAGAGGTGTCAAACTCTGGCCCGCGGGCCACATTTGGCCCGCAGCCTAATGACATTTGGCCCGCAAAGCCATACCAAATTACTATTGGAGCAGGCCTACTGGTATTATACAGCTAATATATATATTGTTTAGTATTAAGCTTTGCTTGTTCCATATTCAGTTTTTCAGCAAAACTTGTTTGAGTCCATAAGAAAAGATTCATTCTTATATCTAGAGGAAGAATTTTTTTTTTTCAATAAATATTAATGTTAGCCCGCGACTTTGTTCCAGTTTAGAATTTTGGCCCACTGGCCCATTTGAGTTTGACACCCCTGCTCTAGCAGATCATTACATGAAGGAACCTTTTAAAAACAAGCGCGTCCATGCTCACAGGTGTACACACGGGTGATCACACACACAAACTACACCCTTTTTGGCTCCTACCTCAAAGCACACTGTGTTCTGTTGATCTTATGTGCTGCACAATAATGTTTAATATTTAGTATTTACTGTCATATTCCCATATATCATTGTGATGTTGTTTATTCTATTACTCTTGTTTTCTTCTGCTTGTTTTCTTTTTTCTTTCTCAACAGGTGATCGATATATGTATTTTTTTTTCTCTGCTTATTCTGTTGGTTTTTGTCTTTTGCCCTTCTCCCCCGTCCCTCTTCTCAGCTGTTTTTCTTTCCCTCTTTCTTTCTCCCCTTCTTTCCCCCAGTCAAGTCTGTCCCGTATTCAGCAAATGAAAATAAAATAAACAATAAAAGGTGAATCAAATGGACCATTACGGCAAGGCTGGGATGGTCAGTTTGGTAAAGTAAATCCGTTGGGCATCTTTCTTCGCCTTTAGACAATAATTCTGATGGCAAAAGAGCCAAACGGGACAGGTAAAAAACAAAACAAAAACAAAAACAAAAAACCTTATGCACATTGCATCAAGCAAAAATTAAATTATATGCAACAGTCTTTGACTTGAAGAAATTTGTTTAACATTTAAACCTATTTTCTGCATATTCCAGCACATAAAATAAAATAATGTTTTGTGTTTTACTTGCATCTTTCAAATAGATGCAAGTAAAACGCAGTAGAAAATAAATAAAATCAAAGATTCTGCGGCTCTGAGTCCTGTCGCTCTATTTTCTATTTTCTTAATCTATTTTCACCTGTTTAGCAGTCGTGGAGCCAGTGGAGGTTTGCCCGGTGCTGCAGCGGTCATGTCAGTGGGAATATCCGGGGGTCTCTCTGTGAATTTCACATTCCCGTGGCAGCGTGCTCAGTACTTGCTCAGTTTTTTCGCTGTAAAAAGAAATTTTCTTCCCACGCAGTGAACAGTGGACGCTAATGTTTTTGACACTTTTTACAGAGTCAAACTCAAAGTAATGTCAGCACTTAAGCTTTAAATGCTGCACGGTCGTACTCTCTCCGCACTCTATATATTATCCATTGTTGATCTACACACGTCTGTTACCACGACCGTCGCTTACGTCATTATCATGAGACACTCTCACTAACAAAATCACGGTTCAGTAACGCAGTGACACAGCGTGCTTATGGGAAAGTAACAGTAATTTAATTACTTTTTTTGCAATAGTAATCCCTTTCACATCCATAAATAAACTTTACAAACATGAAAACTGAGTTAATGGAATTTATTCCTCCACTGCATGATGACATCACCTGCTCTAAGAGGGTGGAGAATGATTAAAAAAATGTCTTTCTCTTTCCTTTACACAAATGTAAGCAAATTAAGATTATGTCTGTGAAGGTTCTCAGGCACCCAGGTCATCGTAGTCTTCCTTAGACTACAAATTAAGATTAGTTTGTGTATGTTTTTTTATTTTGTTTAGCACATTTTCAGGTTTTGGTACTCTCGTTTTTTACACTTAAGCTGGCTGATCTTTTGGTAATCTTATGCAATTAAGCTTATTCTGCAAGTTGAGCTTTGAATATTTCAAATATTTTTAAACCTTTCAGGCAAAATCTTCACATTTTCAGCATTCACATTGCATTTTCACTAGGAGATGCTTTTGCTAGTATTATGGCACTGTAATTTTAATGGAGACCAAATATCAACCAAAAACCTAAGAAAAACACACATAAATGTTAAATAAACTGACGTAAAGTATATATTAAATACATAACAAAAAGGAAGTGACATGATTGAGCTCTGTGTTAACCTCATGGCCTCCTCTTTGACATATTTTGTGTTTTTCTCATCTGTTCTGACTATTCTGAGTGTCACTCAACCGATGCAACCCTGTTACCCACATTATCAAAAGAATACAAATTTATTTGAACATTTACTTCCTTTATTTATGTGACAGTCCACAGCTAGCATCTTTCTGAAACAATACACATTTTTTTAGCCTAGTGCTAGCATTGCATTATAATATTGTAAGCATAGGAATTAAACAAATATTAAATTGTTAAAAACATATAAAGTACTATTAAACAACATTTCTGTGGCCCTGAATACAAAATTACTCAAAGAAACAGTATTCGTGAAGATATGTATAATCTACGTAGCAAAATAATCAACAATTTCCTAAACAAAATTTTTCAAATTTACTTTTTTATTGGTATTGGGTGCTGCAAGCATAGCACGCAACAGCTACACTGTCTCATAAAAGTGTACCTTTGATGTCTGAGCTGGAAAAATCTTTGTTGTTTTTGATGATTTATTATTTGTTTTTTCTAATACATAACAAAAAATGATAAAATAAAGGATCCATTTTTGTCTCATTTAGCCTAAATTGTGGTCCAGTTCTGTGATGACATGCAAATCTTTTGAAGCTCTTTTTAGCGCAGGATGATTCATACATCTCTCTAAAGCCTTCATATACAGTACAGAAGGGCACTGACTTCTTGCTAAATTTTCTCATTCTGTGGGCGTATGTATGTGTGTGGTTCTGCTGCTATCCATCACATCTCATATGTGTTTTTTCTTCCAGGTGAGGGAAGAGATCGATAAATATGGGATAAAGATCTATCAGTTCCCTCACTGTGACTCGGATGAGGATGAAGAGTTCAAGCAGCAAGATAAAGAGCTGAAGGTGAGCAGGATTCACATTGAATATGTCCAAAACAGCGTCTTTAATTTCCTTCTTTATGGTTTTCTATTTTCAGATGATAGCTGCAACTAACCCCTGCTTCAATACAATCTTACTTCTAGCTGAATAAAAACATGAAATTGAAAACATTTATTTGGAATGAAGTACCACTAAATAAAACAGTAGTATTTGTACTTTTATTCTGACATTAGGAATCTGAATCTTTCCTCTGTGGCTGCTGCTTGTGATGCAGGAGAGCACGCCGTTTGCTGTGATTGGTAGCAACACTGTGGTAGAAGCTCGAGGTCATAGAGTGAGAGGGAGAGTCTACCCCTGGGGCATTGTGGAGGGTAAGCAGCTCTAAACTGGAGGTTGCAGCTGTGCGGCTGTCTTTCCCAATTCTGATTGGCCAACAGTCTGTCTGGATTCACCCTCACGTTCATCCTGTCCTGCGTGCAGTGGAGAACCCGTCTCACTGCGACTTTGTAAAGCTGAGAACCATGCTGATAAGAACCCACATGCACGACCTGAAGGACATCACCAGTGACTGTCACTATGAGAACTACAGGGCACAGTGCATCCAGAACATGACGAGGTGTGAACCTGACAAAACCTACACATGGTCACAAAACATGGTTAATTATGAGTAAAACTGAGATATGGAGAACAAAACCAGGGCGATTAGTAGATCTTTGACATATTCAAAAAGTATGTGACAAAAAGTTCATTTCATTACATTACACTTCTTAAGACCATGATTTTCTTGTAATTTTTTAAAGTTTTCTTGAGCAGTCAGTATATATGTATTCCAAATGTGAGTATACATTTTTACTTAATAACACAACATTTATTTTTAATCTCATAATTTTGTGTCATTAGTTGCGTAGCCAAATTATGTGACTTTATTACTAAGTCAAAAGTTTGACTTGTTATCTCATCAATTTTACTTTGTAGCCTTGGTTTCTGTTTGCATTTGAATCTACCATCATAATAATTCAAATGAAGTTATTATCAGATAACAATCCTGTTAGTAAAGGCTTTAACACTTTGTGCTTCCATTGCAGACAGAAGAACGAGTTAGCTCATTTTCCTGTCTTGCTGACAAAAAAATCCAGTGTTACTGTGATGGATGACTGCGAAACAAATGGAAGCCGGCAGCCTGTTGTTCTCATCCCTCATGTTTATGTGTCCTGTTACAGTAAGATGAATGCAGATAAGCGTGTGGAGAGCCCCAACCCGATTCTGCCACTGTCTACACCAGATATTGAGGCTGAGAAGCTTATCAAGACGAAAGATGAAGAAGTGAGTGTCAAAAACACGACTCTGTGACTCTGTGATATACCTCAGATGCTCAATAATACATTACAGTGGGTGTTATATAAGCAAGACACTGATGTGAATTGATGACCCATATGTGTTATTATGTAAGCTGTCTTTCATGCTCCTCTTGCTCCCCTGTCTCTGTCTTGTGTTTATCTGGTGTGTCTGTAGCTGAGGAGGATGCAGCAGATGCTTCAGAAGATGCAGCAGCAGATGCATGAACAGGAACTGTGACTCCGCTCTCCCACAGCATCTCTGTCCCTTTATATCTTTATTTAGATGGCAGTGATCCCTCACCGATGCCATGTTTTTAGGGGTTGAGATGAAAAATTCTTCAGTGTCAATATTTCACCTAATTCTTTAAACTCTGGTCACAAAAAATATAGTAGCTGAATGACAGCATGATGTTTTTGCCGTTTGATAAAGTACAGTCATTAGCCAAGTGAGTCATGTTAAACAATAGGGAGTAGCTTGCACTTTGTTATTTTTAGACCACAGGCTTAGGGATGGTTAGTTTACTTGAAATGCTCCATGTATGCCCTCAATGAATTAAGTAGTTTATTCACTGATTGTTTGTACTGTACTTGTGGACTGACAAACAGCTGGAACAGCTGCTGGTAATATAATAACAATACTAATAATACTTATTCTGAATGTGGGGTTTTCCTACAATGGTCAGATGATACAGTGAGTGGAACTGAAATGCTGACTGGAGAAACACACTGCTCTTTGAGGTTTAATATCTGCTTAATCAGGCTTAATATAATCAGTGTCCTGATCAGGACTCAGGATCAGGAGTAGTCTAATAACTTATTTCCCATAATACTGAAATTATAATATAAAGTACTTTGTATTTGAGTGGACATGCTGATGTTTTTAAATGGGTTTCTATTAAACCCAGAGATGGTTGGGTGGGGTATTACACATCAAGACTCTTCTGCATTGGCTGAACTTTTCTAACCTGGTGGTGCATCCATATTTTATATAATGTACAGTTAATAAGCACATTACAGTCTCCTACACATCTGTCTGCAGTTGTCTTGCATTGTGAATAATCTAGGCATTTATGAGTAGGAAGAGTAACGTGCAACCTAAAAAGATATCAATCCTAAAAAGTCAAAGGGAACCTATTTTGTTTCAGTGCTGTTATAGTGTTCGATGTTCACACAACTGATTTTATTTATTTAAACATGGCCAGAGGCTCACATGAGCTCTGGTTTTGGCTCTGCATGATGTCAGTGAGAGTGGGTCTTCATAATGTGGTCATCTGGCGCACACAGACGTGAGTACAGAACCACCTCCTACCTGGCCTAGCTGTAGAAAAATAAAAGTAAAGCTGGAAATGAGCAAAATAGGCTCTCTTTAAGGGTTGCCTGGTAAACAAGATAATGCCAAAATGCTTTTTAAATCCATGTATTTAAAGGGGGCATAACTTTTTATGTTGTTATTTTTTTTAAGAATATTTGGTATTTCTACAAACTCACACAAAGAAAAATAAAACCATCTTCATGACATTCACAATGAATGATCAGCGTTGGTCTGCAGCATCAAAACAGGTGAAGCAGTTCCACTGTTTGGCAAAAAGATATACCTGAATGAGCCAACAGAGCCACAAGCAGAGCATGCTGTTCATGCAGTCCTCGTAGTTTGTTGTATGTAACAAATGTTACAATTAGTTTAATCAAATACCAAGTGGCCACTACTATAGAGGGGTAGTCATAAATTGACTTTAAGACCAACTTGAATCCAGTAAGACAAAATCACTTGTGGGTTACCAGGTGTAGGGCTGCTCAATTAATCGAATTTTAATCACGATTACGATCTGGGCTTTCAACAATCATTAAAAATGACTGAGCCGATTATTAGCCCCTCCCTCATTTATCCGCGACACCTTAAAGGCCGGTCCGTGAAAATATTGTCGGGCATAAACCGGTCCGTGGCGCAAAAAAGGGTGGAGACCGCTGATTAAGAGGACCCGAGGGAAGCTCGGAAAGCTAAGCAGAAGTTATTTGGAGAGTGACTGCTGTTGGTTGAAAAGAGAGTTAAAAAAAAAAAAACTTCAGTGGTGTTGCACACTATTTTATATTATTTTTTAAAGTCATTGTTAACCCTTTAAAGCCGGTCAGAGCAGCACGCTCCGTTTTGCGTAACTATTTTTAAATCCCTGTAGAATCTGAACCGTGTAAGCTAGCGCAATAATTTGTTTTGCATATGAAACCGGAGGAGTTGTACTTACATCTGATGCCATCAGCTTGTCCTCGGTCACGGTTTCGTTCCACATATAGCTTTGCAAAAACTGCATAAAAAGCGCTTGCAGGAACAAAAGCATAATATTCCAGAAACACGCTTTGCCGTTCCTATCAGCTGTTTGTAACACTTCCCACAGTGAAATGATGCACCTGCTGTTTTCTTTGCAAATTTGCATCATAGGATTGTTTTTTGTTTTTCCTGCAGTATATAAAAATTGCTGTATCTCCAAAATAAAACTATGAAGACACTCAAAATAGAAACTATTTTTTGCAACTTTGTGGTATTTAAAGTTTTGAGGGATAAACCTCTTAAATTTCTCCAAGTAGAAATATATGTAAACAAAACAAAAGCGATTTTCAATTTTTTTTGTAGTTTATTGCACTTTTTTGCAATTTATGTAATTACTATGCACTTAATGCATACATATTATTAAAATATGGGCTATAACAGTTGTATTGATGTATAGCAACTTGAAATGCTCCCACAAATGGCACTACAGCATGTAAAATAAATAAATAAAAATAATATAAGCTCTGGCGGACTTGGTTCTATAGTAGGTCTTAAAGGGTTAAATAAATATCGTCAAATAATCGTGATCTCAATTTCAGTGAAAATAATCGTGATTATCATTTTTGCCATAATCGAGCAGCCCTAACCAGGTGTATATTTCATGTTGCCTTTTTGCATTTCAGTGCAAGATAGTTTCTGTTTTATATACAACAGGACTGTTGCAATATCAGATTTCTATTTCATGATTGCTGTGGTAACAAAAAAGTTGCAATATCTATCATAATAATAACAACAGTAATGGTAATAATAATTACAGCAATAATACTATCAGTCAGATTCATCTGGAACTTTGTTTTATGTATGCATTTAAAGTCAAAATAAATATACATCGAGCTGATGAGACTTTTACTGAAACTGTACAAAAACAATAAAAAGCCATCATATCAGAGCTCTACACTCTTTTTGCAACATGTTCATCAGAGATTTTACATTATAAGGAAGATATATGGAACGAAAGTTTGGAATACTGAAATCTCCACACAAGATTAAAAATCAGCTTGTATATATTACCATAAATCATTAACATGTAACTCTAATTTATGACAGATGAACACTGTTTCAGTGTGTTTGGCTGTGTAAAAAGATGAAAACAATATGGGAAAAGGGTCAAAGAAATCCCAACAGAATCAACGCTTTGTTTCTCACCAACAGAATATAGTTATAATAAAAACATATATGTTGGTAAACATCAGTCTTTTCAATCCAAAAAGCTATTGTCGTTATTTAAAAAAATCACAGATCAAATGTTACCTGCAGGATAAGACAAGTGATGGCGAACCTTCCAGTGCGAGGAATAATATAAACATTAAAGGAAGAAGGCTCAGTCAGAGTACTTCTTTAAACCAAGCGTCTTTGGCTATAAGTCCTCAACTGAGGATTTAATTTTATGCAAATTGTTTTGGATTTAGAGGAACGCTGTGTTGTTTGGCTTTTTGTGTCTGTTGTTCATCAGTTACTTTTTCTGTTTATATGGATCTTTTGACAACTATTTACTACAACTATGATATTGTCATATGTGCAACAATGACACAGTATTTTAGTTTTAATTTCATGGTTAAATGGCAACATCCTCACTGTGTAAGAAACATTGATGCTTACCATATTACGGATGTTATTTTATGGACTGTCATGTCAGAGGTTTTGAAAATGCTTTAGAGAATATTTCCTGAATTAAAATTGTTCTACATCCCATATTTGTAACATACTAGCTTTATTATGTGGTGATGATACAGTTTTCTTTATAACATAGCCCTTTTCAGGAACAGCGTAACATAGTGATTTGCAGTATAACAAGGCCATAATAGGTACAAATAAAACAATTCTTTTGTGTAAAATTCTTTTGTGTCCGTCTTCTTATTTTACCATGTGTCTGTTATTGCAGACACATGAACTAACTGGCATGCAGTCTGTTTCTGTTTCTGTTGCTCTTTCTCCATACTTTAAACTTTTTCAGCTCAACCAACATCTGGACCCCCTTCGGTTCACTTACCAGCAGTGCTCTGGAGTTAAGGAAACCATCATCTACCTGCTCAATCATGTCTACCTCCATCTAGACCAGCTGGCAAGCACTGTGAGGGTTGTGTTTTTTTACTTTTCCAGTGCATTCAGTACCATCAGGCCTGAAAGCGATGGAGGTACATGCCTCTCACATGTCCTGGATTGTTGATTACCTGACAGGAAAATCACAACATGTGCGCTTTCAGCATTGTGTGTCTCACAAGGTGATCAGCAACATTGGGCGACCACAAGGGACTGTCCTCTCCCCTTTATTATTCTCCCTCTACACCGAGGACTACAGTCGCTGAACAGAGCCCTTCAATCTTCAGAAGTTTTCTGATGACTCTACAGTGGTTGGATGCATTGGTGACGGTGATGAGACAGAGTACTGGACTGTGGTTTACTGCTTTGTTACATGGTGCGAGCAGAATCATCTGCAGCGTGACAAAGACCAAGGAATCTATTGTGGACATTCGGAGGACCAGGAAACCTGTCACCCTGTTTCAATCCAGGTGGTCGATTTGGGCATTGTGGAGGACTATAACTACCTCGGAGTACACACTGATAATAACCTGGACTGAATTTAAAAAACCCTGGACACTGCAGGAAAGGCCAGAGTCCTCTCTATTTTGTGAAGCAGCTGAGGTCTTTTAACATCTGTCAGACAATGTTCAGGATTTTCTATGAGTCTGTTGTGGCCAGAGCCATCCTGCATGCTGTTGCATGCTGGGGAAGCCGGTTGAGGGTCGCAGATGCCAACAGATTCAATAAACTGACCTGCAAGGCCAGTAATGTTATGGGGACGGAGCTGGACTTCCTTACGGTGGTATCGGGGAGGTGAACGCTGTCCAAGATAAGGACAATGCTGGACAATACCTCCCAACCAATTCCTGATGTGCTGGCCAGTCACAGGAGCATGCTCAGTGAGAGACTAAGATTAGTGCACCACTGGACGACATAGGAACCTATTTTGACAAATTGCTGCCCCTCCCTGAGCCTGGTTCTGCCAGAGGTTGGTTCCAGTTTAAATTGAGTTTTCCTTTCCCACTGTTGCCAAAGTGCTTGTCTGAGGGTCATTTGATTGTTTGGGTTTCTCTGTATTATTGTAGGGTCTCCTTACAGTATTAAGTGGCTTTAGGTAACTGTTGTTTGTGATCTGGTGATATATAAAAGGAAGTGAATTGAACTGAAATTGAAATCCATCAAACAAATTTAGATCCTGAAGATGTTTCTTTGCCATTTAAACTTTCATAACGACATGCACTAAAGTCAGGGTTCATGGATGCTTTTTCATCATTTGTTGCTTCATTGCCAACTTTCTTTTGGCACAAGACGAATGTCCCTTTTATCCAGCTGCTTTAGCAGCTTGTGTCTGGTGCTCATCCTGAGGACACCCACTGATCTCGTCGTCTTATCCAAAAAGAGTAATAGGCGTCGTAAACCAGGCTGGTTATTATTTATACTATTACACTGACCCACTGTTTCTAAGGTCCCGTAAAATGAATTTTAATAATTTGATTTCTTTTAAAATAATGCAAATAATGTTCAAAGAAAAAGTTTAAGTTACTCCCAGACTGTGTACAAAGGTTTTTTTCAGTGCAGGAGAGTAAATAATGTAATTTCACTGTATAAAAAGCAAAGAGACTAAATAAAAATATATATTTCTGCTGGGGTTATATATTTTGAGGGTTACGTGTGAGAATATTGTAGCTCATCTCTTTGTTGATGAGGTCTAAACATTTATTCTTCATATACAGTTATATACTTTGTCAATGAAAGACTGGTGTGCAGTTAAACTTTCGTACTACAAATTATCTAAAGTTTAATGGTAAACTGATCTTATTGGTAGACTGTTTGATGGTGCAGGGTAAGGGGCACTACGTCATTAGTTTCAGGTCTTCAGATGAGCTACGCACAGCCCTGTTGGCTGGAGGAAGTATTTCCGTGCTTTTGGGTACAGGTTTCGGCGCGTTTGCAACCGTCTGATGCGGCGAAATAGTACAAACGGGGTATTTCAGTGGTCCTGTCCACCGATGTGACAGCCTGCCGGAGCTCCGAGTAGAGGCGGGAATGGAGCGGAGCGAGGCGGACGAGAATGAGAGCAGTTCATCCCAACAAAACACGATGTGGAAACAGCTTCAAGCCAAAGCCAAGCCGCTGCTCAGCCCCAAGCTGGGCGCCAGAGAGCCAGAAGACAAGAAGGAGCGAGGCATGTGGATGTTCAAGAAGATGAAGCGGAAGGAAAATGTCGTCCTGGACCGGGTAATCTCCTCCTCGCAGCCCGACCTGCTCTTCTCCTCTCCGGATGATGTGGACATTAAGGAGGCACAGCTCTGCGGCAAAGCAGTCGGCCGGGACAAGCTGCAGTTTTCGATCAAGCACAAGTCCACCAGCCCAAACAAACCCACGGTGTCTCAGCTGGTGCAGTCCCACCACAAGAGCTCCTCTCTGGGGTCTGCGTGCCTGGAGAGGCTGGCCGAGCCTCCGGACGGCGATGGCGGGGGCGACGCAGCAACAGCTGCCGCAGCGGAGAAGACACATCTGGAGAGCAGTGAGGATCAGCTGGTGAGCTCCTGCCTCGATGATTTGGGTTTTCAAATGAATATATGTCTGAGAGAGCCAGTTCTGTAACTATTAGATTAGCCCTCATTCATACTGGCAGGTTAACTATCACAAGTTTTGAGTGTGTGAGCGGAAACAAGCAAGTACATGACAAGATTTGTAACGCGATAAGTGTCAAATGGCATATGCGTCAAAATCTGATAGGTTAACAGATAATGACAAAATAAAAAACTGTTCCGTGATCTCCATTTTACATCACATTACTGTGTTTTAAGTAGTTAAGAGTAGTCATTGTATAAAGTATTTAATTATTGTGTGGTATTCTTATCAGAGAGAGCCCTACCCAGCCAACGTGTGTATATGGGCCCCACCTGGTTTTTGCTTGGGCTGGATGGGTACCATGTGGGCATGGGCTCAAACTGGGCTTTTTGTATGGGGCCTACTTGGGTTTTTCACATTAAACCCATATGGGCAATCCCAAGTGGGCACTTTTAGTAGGTCCTAGCTGGGTCAAACATGGGAAACACTTAACTTGGTCCAAAATGGGAAACACACGTAGGACCCACTTGGGTTTTCCACCTGGGATAGACATGGGCAAACACAGTAATTTAAGGATAGGCTGTTGTTGTGTGCCCCAGGTTGGGCAAAGTGAGGTAATCAATATATTTTTTAGCACTGATGACACAGGTGGGGCCCACCTAATCAAACTATCTGGTTGTGGATGTGGATGGTTATAACCATCAGAGTACGAAGAAGCACCAAGCAATCACAGGGTACAAGAACTCCCCTTTAACAGGAAGAGATCTCAGGAGATTTAGTTGGTTGAGGGTGAGGGAAAAGACAGGAACAAAGATGAGTGTAGCAATCAATGTTGGTCAAGTTACTTGAAAAAAGTAATCAGTAACTAATTACTGATTACTTCCCCCAAAAGCAATCCCTGTCATGAACCGAAGTTCCGAGCGCAGGCAGGACCCAGTAGCAGAACACACACACTAGGGTAGGAGCGAATAAAGAAAGTAATTTTTATTGCAACTAAAGGTGTCCCGTGAGGGTAGCCTGAAAAACAACGTATGAAACCAGAAGAAACCGAGGGACCGCGCAGGGAACGCCGAGAGCGGGGCTGTGAGAGGCTGTAAAACAAAAAGAGAGACAGATTACTGGGGTGCGGAAAAAAGGCAGCATACGAGGGAAGGTGGAGTGTGCGTCTCACGGTGATAGCCGGGCCGAGTGAACCAGAGGGGGGTGGAGCTCCAAAAGGGGTCAAGACGGCGAAGCTGATGGTGAACCAAATCTCAGGCGGACAGGTGGACAGGCAGGTGGCTCGTAAACAAAAACACGCCGAGTTGTGATCGCTGAGAGGCGACTACGGACTGGCGTGGAGCAGCAGGTAGGGCAGGATTAAATAGTCCACCTGATGATCGCCTGGGATGGGATGCAGGTGTGGGGTTAGCAGCCACGCTCGTGGGCGTGGACATCCCAGCAGCACCCCGGACGCCGGGCCGCGGACCATGACAATCCCGTTACTTTACTGATTACTTATTGTCAAAAGTAATTAATTACTTAGATTTACAACCTGAATAGGTGATAAAGCGATAGATCTTTCAGCCCAATTCTACTTTTTCTGCATAATCCATCATACAAAATGTAATCAAATGGAAAAGTCTCTTTTTAAAACTTGTTTTATTAGTTTTAATCTTTTAAAAAAATTAATTATATGCAACATTCTCTGACTGGGAGAAATTTGTTTAACATTTAAACCTATTTTCTGCACATTCCAGCACATAAAATAAAATATTTTTTTGTGTTTACACTCACTCTTTAAAATAGATGCAAGTAAAACACAGCAGAAAATAAATAAAATGAAAGACTCAGCGGTCCTGTTGCTCTATTTTCACCTGTAAAGCAGGAGTTTGGTAGGCGGAGGTTTGCCCTGGTGCAGGTGTGCCGCAGCCGCTTCGCTGACTGACATTGGAGGTATATAAAATGCAGCATGGGCTACTGATGCATAAATAACTTTTAAAAAAAAAAGACTCATGATGCAACATTTAGTTAGAATAAAGTGGGACCTCCTTTGTGCTTTTATTAAATAGTTAGACCTGTAAATATACATTGTCCACAGACAGTTAAATAGAATAGAATTAGCTTATATTAGTCTCCGCTTGTGGAAGTTAGCATTATTCGTCTTCTGTTGTGCATTTTTGTTGTGCAGATTTAAAAAATAAAATTATTTACATTGTAATAAATAAGTTAAAATATTTGAAAATAATATTAAATAATAGCCATAACCCATAAACTGTGATAATACTCCCAATAAGGGGCTCTGTTTTCATGTAGACTTCTTGTATTTTGAAGGCCTATGAGAGAAATAGATTTCTAGGTCACTTGACAAATACCCACCCATCAGCACGCCATAAGTGAGTGGCATCACTTTAGACTGAATTTACAAAAGTAATATCACATCTCTCATTTAGATCTCTCTCAAATCCTTGCTGGGATCCAGACAACTTTGGCTTCTCTGGGAAAATGATCCCTGTCTTCCCTCCTCTATGAGCTCTATAAACACACGGAAATGATGTTGAGTTTCATTTTGGTCCCTAATAAAGTGAAAAATATAAATAAAGCAGAACATCTTTAGGACTGACCTGCTTCTCATATTTCTGTCACCTTTTTGCTTCTCATACCTGATTTCAAAAACCAAGATGGCAAATCAGTCAGCTAATTGGAGATAAAGTATCTGAAATTCAGGAGCGGGGCCACGCCTCCAAACACGCTCCTTCCGGTTCTCATCTGTATATGTTCCCCCAGTTCTACAAGCTGTTTGTTCTCGTTTACGTGCCCCACCGTCCCTCCCTCCCCGTTTTACTTCTTTAACTTCTTCACTTCTCTAGCCGGACAGGGCCCACCCAGTCCCCTTTGAGGCCTTCCCTAAACCGCAGCTCAATTCATGTCCAAGTCATTCACCTTTATCTACTAAAACGCTATCAAACCTCAAATGAGGACGTGGGCCTAGCAAGTGAAATGCTTTAAATTGGGACGTCACTGTGGTCACATCACACTTTTAAATGAACTGACACTATCACACTAACATCTGCTAAGAACGCTGCTGTTATTTTTGAGAAAACATTTCATTTTGAATTTCACATTTCAAAGCTCACCCAGTTTGTTTCTTTCATGTCAGAAGCATTGCAAAATTTCTGTCTATAATTGTTCTGGTAATGTGTGTCTGCTGTAATGAATATAAGGGCATGTGTTTGACTCTGTGTTTTTATGTTTGAATGTGTGATTCAACAGTGAAGCACTTTGTAACTGTGTATTTTTAAAAAGTGCTATACAAATAATATTATTGCTATTGTTGTATGTGATGACTTGGGAGTGAGAATGGATTGGCTAGAGAGAGGTGCGCCTGGCGGCCTGGTAGCTAGTCAATAGTAACATGTCTAAGTGGACTAAATCAGTAACTCAATGAACCCCAATAAACACATTTGTGTGTCCTCCAAAGTCACACACAAATCATTTTAACATTTGTAAATCTTAGTTTACCATTTGGATCATATTACCCTGCCTACTGTGGTCTGTGTGGTTCCTTGTGCAAGATAGACTCCAAAGTCTCATTTACTTATCCATGTATGTTGAAATTAATATAGTCATTGCAGATAAGAAAAGATTATTGGTAAATCAGATGCTAATGGTTTTCCTTCCCTTTATATATACACTGTTCCACGGACAGATGCTCATTGGTCAAAGGTCAGAGCATGCACAGTTAATCCTTGTGAGCCAAAAGCTCAGGTTTCAAACTGTATTTTTTCTAATCTCATGATTAGTGGATGAATATCACACACACAAGCTCTACCACCTTCTGTTTGCAAGGGGGGGGAAATTTTTCTCTCGAGAAAGGTGTTCTTAAAGGGCAAGGAGCTAAAACAGGAGGGTTCCTTACTAGGAACTCAGAAATTCTTACTTCAAATGAAACTCACTATTAGTACAAGATTAATAATTAATAAAGCGCTGGATGGACCGAATCAAGGATGATATGAAGGCTGTGAATGTTACACCAGAAGACGCCCTCGATAGGAAGAAGTGGAGGAAGGCATGCAAGATAGCGGACCCTGCGTCGGGTGATATAAACCGCTAGGAAGAAGAAGAAGAGTACAAGATTAATAATTGCTTATTTTAAAATCTGAATTATGCAAATCTCCATTACTACAGTGCAAGAATTAAAAAAAGGGGGCTTGGTTAGATTTTGTGGAGCTGTGTGGGTGTATGTGTGTGTGGTGCTGCTCTCTCGAGGACCCTGCTGCCACTCCTTTTCTCCACCTGGGGTCACTCAACAAAAAGCCCTCCGACATTATAAAGGCGAGATGAGGTCCACGTGCGAGGGTTGTTGCTGGGTGTCTGTCCTGCTCCGTTCACACAGAGTTTTGTTTTTGGAGCACTGTGGATTCCTTTTGTGGATACATGTGAATAGTGTGATCCTGTGGGCAACAGAAGTGCCACTTACTGAGTTTGAGCTGTTTGAGCAACAACACTTGCATTAAGGTGCTTTATGTTGTTGTAAGGTACAAAGAGCAGCCGACTAAGGGAAACCAATCCCCTCAGTAAATGTACCAGCTTCTCAGAACAAGACTAGCTTATGTTGACTCTCCTGTGTGTGCAAGTCAACTGAAGCATGAGAGGACAAGAGTGAAACCGGACTGGCTCTCTATCAGCTAATGTGATACTCATTCTTGTCACACTGTTAGCAGAGGGACTTCAGGGTATTTGTTCAGTTGCTACTGTGCTACGATATATGTATCATTTATATCTGCCCTGGCTCAAGCTAAAAAAAGATCATAATGTCACTTTAGATTAAGGTTGGTCGATTTGATTAAAGGGTGAATACTGCAGGATATCTCTCTCACTGAGGAATTGTTTCTAGTTGAAAACCTTTCATTAATAACAAGTATGATTAGCATTGAATCATACTTTATTAATCTTATCTGTTATTAACCTCTGTCTCTGTTCCA